TTTGCTTGTCATGGTGTGAGGGTCACAACCTACTCTCTTCATAGTAAGGTTGTGACACTAGCGAGGACATTGGGCTTCAAAGGGGTGGATGGTGAAATCTCACATCGGTTAGAGATGGAAAAGAAACATTTTTTTATAAGCGTGTATAAACCTCTCCCTAATCAGACGTGACTTGAGTAGACGCCTGGTAAAGCCCAAAGAGTAAAATATTAGCTAGGAGTGGGTTTAGGCTGATGCATATCCAATTTTTTAATTTCTTCTGCGGGAAGGAAATATACTAACTATTTGAGATATTCGTGTTACTTAATTTCTTATTACAACGTTCTCGTTCTCGACCATGGAATTCAACCTTAGGGGTCAACCCAATGACTTCTATGAGGAAGGCGGTGCAAAAGAGGTTCGAGAGTTGTTAAGGAAGGCAACAGGGGTCGGGTAAATCGAAAGTCATTTTCTGGTCCCCTATGTCGGGTAGCACTTGTGTGGGATGTGCCATGGAGAGCTCTTCAAAATACAAAAATATTTCATAAACAAAATATTTCGGTCACATTAGTTTTAATTTTTTTTTTAATTTTTTTATAAATATTATAATTATAATTATAATTATTATGTGACGTGAAATTGTTGTAACCTAGTCGTAGGAAACGGACATATTTGAAGCGAAGGGAGATGGCAACAAAATCGCGGAACTGGTGGTGTGGGGAAAGTGATCGTCTCCTCAACTCACTGTAAATTTTATTCTACATTTCTCCATTTCCTCCTCTCCCAATTCTTTCTCTCTTTCTCGTTTCTCTCTGCAATTCCGATCCCAAGATGAGCAAGGGGCCCGGTCTTTTCTCCGACATCGGCAAGAAGGCTAAAGGTATTCTTCTTATTCTTCCGTCTCCCTTCTAGATTTACAATCGAAGCAAGATTGATGATCATTATTGTTTTCTTTTTTCAGATCTTCTGACGAGGGACTACATCTCGGATCAGAAGTTCTCTGTTTCTACTTATAGCGATGCTGGAGTGGTATGAATCCCGCACTTTCTAATTTCTTATACTTTTTTTTTCATTTCTCTGTGCCATGATGCGAAACGTCTAGGTCCTTAATTAAGCTTCCCAATGTTATTGCATTGGATTCGCTTTTTTTGCAATTGTATTCTGTTGTGTAATGATGTGGTAGTTTTAAATTGTCCTTGAAGTGATTCTGCCTCCGAGTGCTTGGGATAATTGTGCGATTATACTGTTTGTCTTATTTTCGTTTTGAATTGGATCAATATTCGGCAGTTGATTCATAGATTTTTCGCTAGCAAATGTTGGCGGACATTTACGGCAGATATGTCTAGTAGGATCTACTAGCAATGGTTATCTGCAATGTTGCTGGATTTTTGTTGAGTTGAAAGAATTTGAACAGGACATTTTATAACCTTACCTTTTTCATTTTTTCTGTCTGTTGGTGCTATTTCAGGCTTTCAGTTGTTATATGTTGTTATTGCGCTATTGTATTTAGGTTTTACCTTATCTAAGTTCTGCTCTTATTGTCTTATGTTCTTCCTCCAAACATCAAGTGTTCTATGAATCCTCTCTACCTTGAATTATATGATAATGTCTTTAAAGCTGAAATCATAGTTTTGAGTCGTTCGATGTATGCCATGAGTGAGCCTTTCCTCTCTAGATTCCATCCTCAATTGCTAGTGCATGTTAGTTTGTTGAATTATGGAGTGACTTCATGTCAAGTTATATTAATTTATTGTATTCTTCGTCTTATAGGTCCTCACATCAACCGCAGTGAAGAAAGGGGGAATTTCATCTGGGGATGTTGCAGCATTATACAAGTACAGGAATGTTACATTTGATGTTAAAGTTGATACAGCATCAAATGTGAGTTGTTTTGCTTCCTCTCTCGTATCGTTCTGTATATGTTTTTCTGGGTTTGGTTCATGCTACACATCCTCGCGTTTTTCATATTTATCCATTCTTTTGTTTTTCTCAGATATCTACTATCATCACATTGAATGATATTGTCCCATCAACCAAGACTATTGCTTCAGTCAAGTTCCCTGATCATAACTCCGGCAAGGTAAAGTGGAGGATTCTTTTCATTTGAATGTAGATCTTTTTTATATTTTAAATGGAATGTATCTCATTTTTTCCTTCTTGCTGCAGCTGGAGGTTCAGTATTTCCACCATCACGCAACCCTAGCAACTGCAGTTGCCTTGAATCAAAACCCCTTCATTGATGTTTCTGCCACTCTTGGTACTCCAAGCATCGCCTTTGGTGGAGAAGCTGGTTATGACACCACTTCCGGTAACTTTACGAAATATACTGCTGGCATTAGCGTGACAAAACCAGATTCGTCTGCATCGATAATCTTGTAAGATATCGTTCCCACTGGATGAAAATCACTTTTGTGAAATCTACAACTGCTTTACTATGTTGGATCTGTTGCACGCTCTAATTCATGGCTTCTCTTCCTATTCATAGAGGTGACAAGGGGGATTCTATAAGAGCTTCTTACGTGCACCATTTGGATCAACTCAAAAGGAGTTCTGCAGTGGGAGAGATTACACGAAGATTCTCGACGAACGAGAATACTTTCACGGTAGGAGGGTCGATTGCTGTTGATCATCTGACAGTGGTGAAGGCAAAGCTGAACAACAATGGGAAGCTTGGGGCACTCATCCAGCATGAAATTATTCCAAAATCTTTGTTGACCATCGCTGGTGAGATTGACACCAAGGCTTTGGACAGAATTCCCAAGTTTGGTTTGGCCGTTGCTCTCAAGCCATAATTGTTGAGAACTTATTTGTGAAAAGCATTCAAATTCTTGCGTTGCTCGAGAAAACGAGCACTCAGTAAGTAGCTCCCACACATTCATTTTTTTAGGCGCTCTAACACTGGATTGTCTGTATTTTCATTTTCCACTCTTCTATTTTGTTCGTTTTTTCCTTTTTAGACTTTGGAGGCTTTTGGTCATTTTGACAATTTATATCTTCTTACATTGGAGAGAGTTAATGATTTTTTTTGGTTGAAAATGTTTTAAATTCTTATTTAATTTTTGTTTCCTCTTTTTTGACCTGACTAATGAATTTTGTGAAGAAAAAAAAAATCAATATTATTGAAACCTTGCAAGCATTCGAAAGAAATATAATTCCTTTAGATCAGTTTAGTCTACTTATGGTATTCAAAGTTTTAATTAGGCAACTTTATAGTTTAGTTAAATCACAATGATCATCTTTAAATTATATAATACTCGATAAATAAATAAATAATCTCACTGGTGTCTAAATCAGCCTATTGCATGGGAAGTTTTTACATCATCAGATATGCAAATATATCACACAAATAAATATTTTGCAAATACCTATTTAAATATTTTTCTGCAATTCCTTTTTGACTCTTTAATTTGGGTCAGATTGCTATAATATATGCTCTTAATTAAGGTAATGATTGCAACAATTACCAAAGTTCTGAAATTCAATCGGATGAAATTAAAAAATTATGATAAAAATTGATATTATACATGTGTATATATATATATATATATATATTAAAAAATCTTGTTTTTCCTGTTTCAGAAGTTTCCATTTTATCATCTCCAATGAAACATTTTCAACCAAGTAATAATATTAGTCATTTATTTATTTGTTAATACTAAATATCTAATATGTGTGTACAAACAAGTCAGAAAATGAAATAAGTGGTCATAAAATCAGGTATCCAAAATGAAACATTTTCAACCAAGTAATATCTCTATGATAGTAACATCCACTTCTTTTTCATTAAAGGCCTTTATTCCTTCCCTGCATCATTTGGGGTTGAGGTTGGTTATTGTATTGTAGAACTAAAACTAAATGCCTCCACTCCGTTGGTTGGAAGTAGGATTACACTAATGGGATGCCTCAAATTTACTCCTAAACACAGTGAGTAGGGCTCTGTTTGTTTAGGTAGATGAACCTTAACTACAAAGGGATGGAGTTATTATGAGAATCAGTCATTTCTTCCACATAATGAACTAAGATAACAGAAAGCTACTGTATCACTTGGTGAACTGCAATACAAGAGGAAAGGTGGATGAAGGGTTGGTCATAAGTAAGAAATATGACACTGCAAGAGTGTATATATAGCCTCTAAGGGTGCTTGAGAATGCATACTCAAAGCTTGGGAGCAGATTCAACCATATAGAAACTAAGCTAGAACTAAGGTTCAAGTATAAAGACTATATCCAAGTCCACCTAAATTCATATCTTAAAAAGTGATGTGCAAAATTAACATATGCAAATGCAGTAAAAACGGATTTCAGACACCTATGGCTATGTTAGATGATATATGGTATAAGATTGTTTCATGCAGCCTGTTTGGGATTCTTCTAGTCACTAAGAAATCAGTTTGAATCCCACACATTAGCAATGATGGATCTCATAAGCCTTAAAATGAAGCTGATTTCTACTTTCTGAAAATAAAGAACGTTTTTCTAGATCAAAGTTTATTCACAAGAACATTACTTCTACCCATAATTTTAGTACAAGAAAAACAAATCATTATCAATGATTCTACTCTCTCCATGTTCACGGGAATAGCTATTCTTTATGATCTGAATTCAAACTGCACACCCTTTTAGACTCTAGTCAAACTCCTGAAGAAATAAGCTGATAGAATATAAACAAATGATATGGAAACCTTCACAGGGGAATGTGAAAGGCGTTTTCTATTCTACCCTGAGTGTATATTATCGTAGGGGAACTTCATACCATTTCAAAAATCAACCAATTCTTTGGGGATGCTATGCTATATGATGCTACATTACAAGAACTACAGTGGAAAGGCTTCAAAGCAACAAAAATCCCAATCTTTATAACAACAACAGGCAAAGTTGATAAAATTTGCAAGTTGCAACCCAGAAAGTTAAGGGTTAAGTCACAATTGCTTATATTCTTCAACAATTATCACTGTGGCCACAGAATAATATCATCTCAATAAAAACTACCAGTTCTCCTTTCTAAGAACAAGAACAGAGTTATTAACAAAAGGTATCTTATGAGACTGCATTGAAAAATAACCAAAATTCCAGTAGAACTCAAAGCATCAAAACAATAAAGCATTGTCTTCATCTTTCCGCATCAAAATAAAGAAACCATAAATTAAAAAAAAATATATCAAAACTGAGAAAGAGATAGAACTAACAGAACTATCAAAAAAATTCACCACATCAAAATTAGTCGACGCTCTGCATAATATCCTCAGCGGTGAATTTAGTGCCCTTATCCTTATCAGAAGAAGCACGGCCCTTAGCCTTACGATCGAGCAGCGACTTCCTATCCTTGTCCAACTTGAGCTTTGTGATCATAACCTTCGACGGATTCATTCCGACGTTGACGGTGGAGCCGTTCACCTTCTCTCTGGTAACGCGTTCGATGTGAATGACCCACTTGCGACGGTAGACCTGAACGACCTTTCCTTCACGGCCTTTGTAGGTTCCTCTCAAGACCTGAACTTCGTCGTCCTTGCGAATCGGCATCGAGCGAACATTGTACTTGGAGCGCAAATCGCCGGAGAGAGGCGCACTCATCAGAACCCGCCGTACACTCGACGGTGCTGAGAAGTGAGCCTTGCGATTCTTGCGGCGGGAGCTTGAGACCCTGGGATTGTACTTCATCGTGTTAGGGTTTTGGTCTCTCGGTTTGAGTCTGAGAGTATTGAGAATGGGCGAAGGAGAGACGTGGAAACCTAATTGTAGAGTTCTTATATTTGGGAAAATGAGAAAATCGAAGACACATTTACCAAAATACCCCTCATATATATTTCCTCATTTTTCTTTCAATCTCTTGGCATTTTAAAATACATAGTTTTTAGGGTTGTTTGATTGGATTATTATTATTATTATTTTATTTTTTTTAAAGTTTGGGTCGGATTGAATTGGGCGAATCCGAAAAATGGAGTTCACACCACTATCCATCTTTATTATACTTTTAAGATTTCGTTTAATACTTGAATTTTACGAGATTTTAGTTATTAATATAAATTAATATAATTTTTTTAAAGTTAACAACTCAACTCAATTCAACACATTTGTTTATGCGACAGATGCGGAATACATGCAAGCAATATCGTCTTTTCAATTGCATAAAAATGGTTCGTATTTTGGACATGCATAAACAAAATATCTATAAACTACTCACAAAACCTTACAAATTATCTAAGAACCACAACATGGAAGTTAGACTTAATTCCATTTATTTTTATAAGAAAACATTAGTATAAGCCAAATTTAAATACCAAGCCGTTTATAAATATTTCTAAAAATTTATTCTTATTCCATACTAATTCATAAGCATTTATTTTGTTAAGCTTATAAAGTCGAAATTAAAATTGAAATTGCAAAATACAAACATGACATTCGAATATCACAAGTGAATAAATACTAAAAAAATAATGTTATTCCAGTATCAAACTAATGCAAATACATCCAAAATAAATAATATTGTGCAACTAACAGAACATATAAACAAAACTCATATAACCCTAAAGAATGTAGTAGTTCAAGTCCTTCAAATAATATAAATATCGTTAATTACAAACTAAACTAACAAACAAATGAAGAAATACAGATGATTATGTTATATAGAATACATTACCCAATTGTTTTGGACTTTCATTGATCAATGAGTGCATATAACAAATGGAATAATAAAGTAAAAAGTCAATGAAAGAATTCTAGTTTCATGGCAGATCAGTAAGGAAACAAAATTCGAAAGTGGTAACTTAACCTTACAAAATTTGTAAGCCTTTCAGATCAAATAAACCTTTCATTACAGATCAATTGCAAAACATTGGTACCGATGGAAAATGATTTTAAGCCAAAATGGAGCATGCAATAGACGAAAAATGATTAGAAAATCATATGCAAGAGGAAGAGGTTCAAAATTTTTAAGGTAATTTTATGGGCAAAAAAAACAAACCTTAATTCTCTGAACTGAATATGAGCTGATGCATTCATATAAAACATCATCTCCATAATAATCACTGAGAATAGGGTTGTAATTGCCATCTAAACCCCCATACATCAACGTTGAGCTTGTAACTTCATTTCCCTAGCAATGGATGGCAACCATTTCTCTCCTCTTACCTTTTTCAGTTCTGCTACCCTTTCTTCCTCTCTTTTAGCAGCTGCTTTGGCTGCGGCTTCTTTCGCTTCAAGCCTAGCAATTGACTTCTCGCGCGCACGGTTTCCAGCAGCGATTATATCTTTTCCTTCAACGGCCACAGATTGGATACGCTGTTTGAACTTTATGGTCATAAGAAAGAGAAAAATACTATTAACCAAATGTAGATAGATAAATCATAAACAAGAGAGTTTGGTTCAATGTGATGATAACCTTCTTTGATTTCTCGTTGATTTCCTTCCCTGGAAGAATTTTTGGTTTCTTTGTGGGGCGTTGAAGCTCATCTGAAGGCATTATAGATATAACAATCAGAAAACTTCATTTGGAATTCGTAATATAAAAAATATGAACATAGAATCTCGCTCAGAAATATATGCTTGTAATACTTGGTGTTCTATTTAGGATAGAGTAAATGTAACATTCTTATGATCCTCACGAAATTTTCCTAATCAAAATGCATGATTTTTCGATAGAGCAGATGCATGAGACAGTGCCGGCTGCAAATGTAGGCTTTTTATCTATTTACATGTTCCATTATACAGTGATAGTTCGTCGATTGGATTTTTAAAAACATATTTTGTTCAGATACAAAAAAGTAGGTATGCTTACTATGAGACCAAATATGGAAGAATATCATCACATTCTATACGGTAGGGCCAACTATATATAGACATACCTGGAAGCCTAAACTAACCAATTATATATAGACATACCTGGAAGCGTAAACTAACCATAGTAAAATTACAACAAATGACAAAATACTATTAGGCTCCTAAGTTCACATATAATACTCCCCTCAATCTAGAGCATACATGCTAATCATGTCCAATTTGTTACATAGACACCAACCTTGTTATAGTTCTCACAAACAAAATGACAATCAATTTCAATATGTTTAGTTTACTCATGAAATACTAGGTTGAATGCAATATGAAAGATAGCTTGGTTATGATACTACAACTAGGTCAAGAAACAAATTGCCTCCAATAGTCATAAGTTGCTCTTCTACCTTCTCTTGATCCTACCCAATTGGCATCTAAAACACACTCAATCTTCATATGATCATGATCTTTATATAAGATCCCACGTCTAGGTGCAACCTTCAAATATTCTAGAATTTGTTGAAATGAAACCCAACGATCCATTGTAGGTGAAAACATAAACTAACTCATAATGCTTACCGAATAAACTATGTTTGGTCATGTCACAGTAAGATAATTCAACTTTTTCAACCAATCTTTGATGTCTCTAAAGATCTTAAATGGTTATCCATCTTTCGTAAGTTATAGATCAGGCATCATTGGAGTAATATATCATTCGACTCCCCATTTCCCCAGTCTCAGATAGCAAAACAAGCACATATTCCCTTTGTGACACAAAAATATCTTTATAGTTTCTCATTACTTCAATACCTAAGAAGTATTCAATGTTACCAAGTCATTAGTATGAAACTGACTTTGGAGAAAAGTTTTGAGAGATAAAATGTCAGATGTATCATTTCTAGTAATAACAATATCATTAACATATAAGACAAGCAGAATAATGCCCCTCTTAGTTCGTCAGTAGAAGACAAAGTGATACAACGTGTTTTTCTTCATTCCAAACCAATGTTTGACTAAAGTTTCCAAGCCATTACCTAATGCATGTAGGAACGACCTTATTTTTTAATGGAAAAGTAGGGTCGTTACACTTACGTATTGTGCAACTGAGGTAGAGTTCACATATTTTTATCAAACTTCATTCACCAAAGATAATGACATTCAATTTCTACCAACCAATGTGGATTGATGTCCAATAAGTGAAGCTCATTCAAGCGGTTTGGAGGCTGTTTGTTTCCGGAAGGCGAGGTGCATCAGACTATGATTTCAATAGGCTTGAGCATGTCCCCAGGCCCATATGGCTTTACTGATAAATTCTTTAAAGCTTTTTCGAATACTGTTAAACATGATGGATGTTATGACTATAATTGGGGATTTCTAAACTTCAAGCATTGTTAATGTGACTCTGAATGATACCTATATGAATGATACCTATACCATAGCTGCCTTATACCAAAAAAAAAATTGGACTCCAAATCAGTCACAAACTCCCCTCTATCAGCCTCATTCCTTGTGCATACAAAATTATAGAATGAGTTCTGTCAAATAGATTGGAAAGTGTTTTGCCTTCAACTAATGCAGAAAAATTTAATGTACCTCCATAATTGCAGATGAGTTGGTTGATGATTGGCTTTATCTCCCGTAAGGAGGGTGGTGCTTAAACTGGATTTAGAAAAGGCTTTTGATAAAGTTGACTAATTTTATAGATGCAATTCTTCATGCCAAAGATTTTGGTTGAATCTGGAGGAAGTGAATTCGTGGATGCATCTTAGTGTTAATTATTCAATTATCATTCATAGACAACCAAAAGGTATCATCATCCCCTCTTGAGGTATTCGCCACAGTGATCCTCTTTCTCCTTTCCTCTCCATTATGGTATTAGATTATCTTATATGAGCACATAGTGCGAACGTGGGTCGAATTGCTTCTCATCCTGCTGGTAACACTCACAGCTATGTGTGAATCATTTACAACTTGCTGATGATACTCTTTCTCCATTCCTCTTCATTTTGGCGTCAGATTGTCTTGGCCGAATAGTAGCAAATGGTGCCAACTTGGGTCAAATTGCTTCTCATCCTCTTAGAAATTCACAACTATTGGTTATAAGCAAAGTGTTTCTTCTTTTGCATATCTTGGTCTTCCAGTGCGAGGAAATTCAAAATCTGCGCAGTTTTGGTAGCTAGTCATTGAGAGAATACAACATCAACTTTGTCGTTGGAAATATACTTATATTTCGAAAGGTGGTCAACACACCCTTATCCAAGCCACTCTTCAGTACGCCTACTTACTTTTTATCTCTATTTAAATTACAATTGAAGGTTCCAAGAACTCTAGATACACTTCTTGACTTCTTTTGGGGAGGGTTGGGAGGAGAGGGTGGTATGCACAACATCAACTGGGCTACAACACAGCTTCCTAAACTGTTGTGTTGTATTGGTCATCAAAATTTAGCCCTCTTGGCAAAATGGGTTTTTGAGGTTTTTGCATGAGGTTAATGCTCTTTGGGGCAAATTCATTGTGGCTAAATATTATCATTGAGAGGACATTCATCTTTGGCCAAGGATTATTCGGAGGCTCTCAATAATCCCCTTGGTGCTTTATTTGTACAGCCATTGATCTTCTTTCTACTAGAGCACACAGATGTTTGGGTAATAATGGTCTTTCTACTTCCTTTTGGCATGATGTTGGTTCAGTTGTGGGGTCCTTGCTATGGTTTTCCCTCGACTTTTTCCACTAACTACTTGGCCAAGGTGTATGGATGATGAAGCATGGATGTCTCTCAGGAAGCTTGGGATTTGATCTATGATGCAATCTAAATGATTTAAAAGCAATTAATAGGCCAATCTTTCTTATCTCTTCGCCTCCATCAGTTTTTGGCATTGTAACAATTCTTGGTTTAGGCCCTTTTACCCATTCAACACTTTTACAGTTAAATCCCTTATAGAGATCTTGAGGGAGTTCCTTGACG